CGCTTTTGGGCTGTTCTCGCAGGCAATACAGCGCCGCACGATGTCCCGCCCGCTGATTGTACGGAATGCGTAGCCGTACTGCAGCTTCCCGCAGCAGACGCAGCGCGCTCGGGGATCCGTCGTAGACCGCTGCGGGTTCAGCAGAAGCGGGTCAATCTTCGCCTCGCATTGCTTGCACGTAGGGCCCACCATTTTGCAAACGTGCGGATGTTAGCAAAATATTTTGTTTTAACCAATTACTTGCGTCCAAATATTAGCCAATAGCACGGTAATGTAAGGCTGGTATTTATTATAAAGCTAAATAGTAAAATGTTTTATATTATTAATATTTGGCTTATCTTTAATATATTATTATCAGATTTCCAAACAAATACATACTTTACATGCAATAAAAGTGACTAAAAGACTATGTATCGTGCGCGCATGCATTCGTCGGGTGGGGTGCACGGGAGCAGATAGCGCAATGACCGTGCAGCCGCGCGCCTTCATTGCACGGTGGCAGTGGTGAGTGCCAGGTGAAGTAAAAAACAAATATTCGCAAAGTCCTTACAAAAAGCGCTGGTCGTGAGGCCTACTTTAATATTAAAAATACTATCGTCTCTACTTTAGAAAGTGTATGGAAAATAGCATCGCCGAGCTCTTACAATGCGGCCTGTGAAGCTTATATTAAGCATATTAGTACTATTAATATCGTCATTACTTTGAAAATAGTGTGTGGAAAATAACATCCCTGAGCTCTTACAAAATACTGGTCTGTGAAAGCTACATTAATAATAATAAATATCTCTATGTGAGATGTGTGCAGAGCTCTTAGAAAATAAAGTGGTTACTGTGCCCGATTTGCAGTACATACGACAGGTTTTGCGCAATAATCAAGTATCTGCTGGCTGTTTGCAGCCAATCGATGCGTTTCGTGCTATGCAGAAATGTTTACCTTACGTCCAATCGCGAGGGCGATAGACGGTCTGATCGTGCGACAGATCCAGTCAGTGTCGCAGGTCGGCAGGTATTGCCCAATCAGGGCGCGAGTTAATTGTGTCACGCTTTTGGATATATTTGTAATTTTAGCATAGTTAGGTCGAGTCAGAAAGGTAGGCACGGTCGGTAGGATAGGAGGAAACTGTATAAGACAGGCCGAGTGTAGCCATGCGAAAAGGCAGGAAAAAGCAGCAAGACGGGGAATGCGACGGACTGACGGACGGACAGACCGACAGGTTACAAGGTTAGAAGCGGAGCGACTAGCGGTCTGGGCGTCCGCTCCGCGGACGCTAGGGCATGGCTGGTTGGTGTAGAGAGGGCCGACTACCTCCGCTGCGCTGCGGTGGGCTTAGAATTTCTACTCAAAGCGAAGCAACATATCGTACTTGTATACTGTGATCTACTTATGCTACGTTCCAAAACAACACCGCACACAGTATCTATAGTGCTCACATGTTATGGTAGACATGACCAGGGTTTATCGTGATCTGCAAGATGAGCACCATCTTAGCCGGGAGGGTTTTGTCTATAATCTCATTTGAGCGCATAGCTCCCAAAATGTCACGAATCGGAGGCGCGCGTGGTTGCAACGCTAGTATATGCTGTACGGAAGACGGGTCAGTATCAATGATGCTACGAAACATGCGTAGATCGGTGAGGAATCCCAGTGTAGCTGGCGTAAAAACGCCTACTCAATCATATTTCCATCTGCACGTCATCGCCGTGAGGCAGTCGACATATATCATCGATTGCGACGGTCTAATAGAGCAATGTTAATCAGCTCCTCGCGCGACGTATCTTTTAGGATAGGTAGTTTTTGCCGATGGTCGCCACAAACATCAATATTATGCTTTGAAATTATTCTGCTGAGCTGTTTGTGATGTTACTGAAGGGTATTTCCACTATCTTCCGCATGAATTTATCTTACTTGCATAGCTGACGTACTTTCTGACTTATTGGCATAGCTACTGACTGACAAAGTGGCGTAAATCCTTTCCGACTGACATTATACTGGGTCCGATATGTACGACAAACATACGAAGATATATGGCTATCAGATCGTAGTGATGCTTAGACTTGATTTGAATAATAGTTCGTGTACATTAGATGGAGTACTTTCGCTGCCTACTTATCCGCTCGGCGTGCTATTTGATGTGTCCGTGCATATATCGCAAGGTCGTTAATGAGTGTATTTGCCACGCGCTCGTGATAGTTCAACCTATGCATGGGGTCACTGTTTCTTTATCGGTACTTTTGCATCGTGGTGCTAGCTTTCTGCGCCTACGCTTCTGATGGATCACCCAAGCGCGCCACTAACTGGACGTAGGTCATAACCGCGGTGATACAGGCAAGCTGACCGCGCGTATGTAGGTAGTAGTCAACGCGAAATATGCGCGCGGCGGGTACATCTTATAATCATTCGCGACTCAACCGGACTCTCGTCTCGACCATTATACACAGGAAACTAAAATACAGTACTGCGTACAGGCACATCGACTTGCGACGACACCTGTATGGTCAACACTACCATAGACGTGCTTGTGTCTATGTCGACAGCAACTTATTGGTCGGTGCATAGTGCTCACTCTATACTGAAGCTTACATTCGTGAGCGCACATTAATAAAATATACGCTGTGAGCGTTGGTGGTACAGATAGCATGGTTTTGCGTGTGCCCACGTGAGCGAGTGTACGTGCCATCTACGGTGACGCGTATGCAGATAGGAGCGGCCAGCTCGCAAGGGTACACAGTAGACACCATGCGCTAATTATTATACGAAACGCGCTACACTCCGTAGATGCTTGGCAGCACCACAGTTAGTTTACCATATGTACGGCCCCAAGCCTCGCGCCGCCCGCCAGTATACAAAATACAAAGATAAGCGGGGTAACGGGGGCAATAAGGATATATTATCCAAATTACTTGCTCTTCTGCTGCTTCTTTTGCTCGATGTAATTGGCGTTTCGGGCGGTCAGCTTGCGAGGGCGGCTGCGCCTCTTTTTCTTCTTGGGGTACCAGTCAGGACCCATCGCCTTCTTGACGTTCGCCAGGCTTTCCTGGCGGCGCACATCGGCCGAATCAGGTGGTGGGGGCTTTTCCTCCCAAAACTCAACCGCTTTTTGGGCCGTTCTCGCAGGCAATACAGCGCCGCACGATGTCCCGCCCGCTGATTGTACGGAATGCGTAGCCGTACTGCAGCTTCCCGCAGCAGACGCAGCGCGCTCGGGGATCCGTCGTAGACCGCTGGGGTACCAGTCTCTCCTTCTTGACGTTTGCCAGGCTTTCCTGGCGGCGCATTTCGGCCGAATCAGGTGGTGGGGGCTTTTCCTCCCAGGACTTAACCGCTTTTGGGCTGTTCTCGCAGGCAATACAGCGCCGCACGATGTCCCGCCCGCTGATTGTACGGAATGCGTAGCCGTACTGCAGCTTCCCGCAGCAGACGCAGCGCGCTCGGGGATCCGTCGTAGACCGCTGCGGGTTCAGCAGAAGCGGGTCAATCTTCGCCTCGCATTGCTTGCACGTAGGGCCCACCATTTTGCAAACGTGCGGATGTTAGCAAAATATTTTGTTTTAACCAATTACTTGCGTCCAAATATTAGCCAATAGCACGGTAATGTAAGGCTGGTATTTATTATAAAGCTAAATAGTAAAATGTTTTATATTATTAATATTTGGCTTATCTTTAATATATTATTATCAGATTTCCAAACAAATACATACTTTACATGCAATAAAAGTGACTAAAAGACTATGTATCGTGCGCGCATGCATTCGTCGGGTGGGGTGCACGGGAGCAGATAGCGCAATGACCGTGCAGCCGCGCGCCTTCATTGCACGGTGGCAGTGGTGAGTGCCAGGTGAAGTAAAAAACAAATATTCGCAAAGTCCTTACAAAAAGCGCTGGTCGTGAGGCCTACTTTAATATTAAAAATACTATCGTCTCTACTTTAGAAAGTGTATGGAAAATAGCATCGCCGAGCTCTTACAATGCGGCCTGTGAAGCTTATATTAAGCATATTAGTACTATTAATATCGTCATTACTTTGAAAATAGTGTGTGGAAAATAACATCCCTGAGCTCTTACAAAATACTGGTCTGTGAAAGCTACATTAATAATAATAAATATCTCTATGTGAGATGTGTGCAGAGCTCTTAGAAAATAAAGTGGTTACTGTGCCCGATTTGCAGTACATACGACAGGTTTTGCGCAATAATCAAGTATCTGCTGGCTGTTTGCAGCCAATCGATGCGTTTCGTGCTATGCAGAAATGTTTACCTTACGTCCAATCGCGAGGGCGATAGACGGTCTGATCGTGCGACAGATCCAGTCAGTGTCGCAGGTCGGCAGGTATTGCCCAATCAGGGCGCGAGTTAATTGTGTCACGCTTTTGGATATATTTGTAATTTTAGCATAGTTAGGTCGAGTCAGAAAGGTAGGCACGGTCGGTAGGATAGGAGGAAACTGTATAAGACAGGCCGAGTGTAGCCATGCGAAAAGGCAGGAAAAAGCAGCAAGACGGGGAATGCGACGGACTGACGGACGGACAGACCGACAGGTTACAAGGTTAGGGAGCGGTAAATAGAGATCATAAAAAGGCGGGGACGAACCTGGACTGACAGCTCACAAGTGCTGTCCTGCTGAACACGAAATTTTAGTGACGAAAGACAAGGCCTCCGCCACGACACCACGAGAGCTAAGATACTTACTTGCATGTCAATGCTACCAGTAAAGGAATGTAGCAAGACTTCCAAGGCAGCGCTGGGCGGTGCGAGAAGGGCATGTTGGCATTCTTTTGGCTGCATGGACATGATCCTGGACTTCCCGCCGGAATGCAATTACAGGTTGAAGGAAAGTGTTGACAGGACAATGAGGTTCTGACGTCGTCGAGCTTTGCTTGCACTAGCTTGAGTTTTCACGCCAAAAAGCCTAAAGATTGGAGCACTGATAATGGGGAAGGTTGATTGACAAAGGTACAAATTGCTCTGACATAATTTCTATAGCCACACTGCAAGTACATTGCTCAGTTAAATTCCAGCAGCTCCTGGGCGTCTAATGTGCGTTCACGAAGCTTCTTGGACGACTTCTTCGAATACGTCGAGCGCGAATACACCGGATAGTTGTAGACGTTGGCCAATGCGCTGTCTTCTTCATCATCTCCAGCTATACTCTTTGCCGTACCGTAGCCACACGAAACGGAAGACATCAGTGCCGAACTTGACAAATCACCAAGGTTGTCGTGGACACCACTCAGCTGAGGCAAATAGCGTGGCAAATTTTGCTGCGACATCAGAACTTGTCGTGACACCGGTCGAACCGCAGCAATGCCGACTCCTGTAGGTCCCATATTTGTCGATGATACAAAGTCGCTACTATTCCATATTTTCTTTTTGCCGCCTCCACTAGTTGCAGGCTTTGGGAGATGATTGCTTCCTTTTTTGCGGCTTTTTCGACGCCCACTCAACGACCTTGAAGCCCCTCCATCGTCATCTTTTGGTGCTGCACATTCACTTGGTTGCCACGATGCAGTCACTAGACTTGAAATATCTTCCACCGAGTCCGTCAGCTTTTTCAAGCTGCTGCTACTGGTTGAGTGGCCACTTCCCCCTCTGTCTTCCTTGCGACTCCGCCTGCTTCCCGATCGACGTTTGTCTTTTGTAAGTGTCGAGCTCTTCTCCTCTGCCTTATACACTCCACGACTTGACATCCAGCACTTAGATTCATAGGACTCGGACGGCCAGCGTAGAGCTCCAGTTGCAACGTCATCATCCGCTGTTATGGACCCTCCTGGTTGTTGCTTCTCAATCAGATTAAATGCCAAAGGCTTAACCTCTGGAGCTGTAAACGCAGTTGCAGAGCAGCTCGTTAAACTGCTGTCCACAGAAGTGGAGCAAGAAAATCCTTCAAAGTACGGATGCTTTAGACACTCTTCACTTGAAAATCGATCTTCAGGACACAACCGGATGACACCTTCCAGGAAACTAATCCCCTTCTTCGAAACACGACCACAATACCGTCGAGTCAGAGTCTCTGGGGCTTTTACTTCGGGAATCTTGAGTCCGGAGAAGCGAGGATTCATTGCAAATAGCTCCGTGTGTCGTTTCTGTAGCGGACCCAGCATTTTCTGGATCAAGTACAGTTGATCAATTTCGCTTTCCCCCGGGAACATCGGCTGCCCCTCAATAAGCTCACCCATAATGCACCCGATTGCCCAGACATCCACAGATTTAGAGTACGTGGTATCCCCAAGTAATAACTCTGGAGCACGATACCATCGCGTGGCGACGTATTCAGTCAAGTCACATGGGTTCCCATTGCTAGGTAGAGATCGTGCAAAGCCAAAATCGCATAGACGAAGTGAGTGTTCGCCGTTGGATGTGTTCACAAGTAGGTTCTCTGGCTTGATGTCGCGGTGTATAACATTATTAGTGTGGCAATAGTGAATTGCGCAACACAACTGAAAAATGTACGAGCGGACGAGCTCGTTGTCAACACCGTTGGGTTTATCTTCTAATACTTCTAGCAGATTCTTTTCCACGTATTCGAACACAAGATACAGTCGACCTTTTCGACGGAAAGCCTCCTTGAGCGCAACAATGTTTCCGTGCTTCAAGAAGCGCAACAACTTGACTTCACGCAACGTCGTCTTGCGCACCATAGGGTCATCGTCCTCGTTTTCTTTGAACTTTTTGATCGCCACCGTCTCATTCGTCTCTTTGTTGTGGCATTTGAGAACAACGCCATAAGCCCCCTCTCCGATCACGCCGAGTACTTCGTACTTGTTCATTTTGCTACCCACTCCCTCCCAAACGAAAGGCTAAGCGAGGTACGATGCATACACAGCACTGATGTCACATGCAGCATCGTTTTTAGAACAGCAATCATCCTCATCAAAAATAAAACGAAGAAAGGTACAGCCCGTTTTAGCAACAGACTTCTCCGCTCGACTGCAATTACCAAGTACCGTTGAAGGTCGACTAACCAGGTTGAAGAGTGTCTCCAATTCATTTTATTAAAGAGACCATACGCGTTGTAAACCTCACGCCAGCACGATGGTGACTTGGTTCTACGAATTGTAGAAGCCACAGCTCCACAGTCAACGTAAGTACGGCGTGATCGACAAGGAAGAGCACATTGTTCTTGGTCTATTGAGAAGCAACTTTGCGCTTCTTCTGCTTCCTTTGCGGTGAGTCTGTTCTTTCACGCTTCGTTGCAGCCATTTGGCTAGGAGCCTTCCACCCTGGCAACGTTGCGCTCAGATAGTTGTCCATGGACATCTCCCACTTATGTCGAGTACAGGCGTTAAAATAATCCCACACGTGCTCAAACATTGTTGCGTAAGGGTCGTTCGGGTCCTGCGGTGGTAAGGGACGAGGGGTTGGAGGGGGTCCAGGAGGTACCGGGGGGCCTTTCAATGTTCCCTTACTCCGTCGCTCCTGACGCTTTACGACCTTGGAGAGTCGTGAAATCGTCGTCTCCGCTTTCACTTTGCTGTCCAATCCACCAACAGAAGTATCGACATGATGTCCGTCTTTAAGCCTTGCCACGAAGCGCAACTTGTACTCAGGATTTCCATGTACAGGATTTGCCTTGACTGACAGTCGAATCTGATGGGTCGACCGTTCTGTCTCCTCTCTATCGCTCTGAAGCTCTTCGTTGGGACTTCTAGACGTTCCTCTTGAGTGCTCATCACCAGTACTTGACTGTGTTTCAGTATTGCCAGTTAGCACGAAGGCGGGTATAGCAATTGCGCTTCGAATCCACCTGGAAACATCGTCGCTATTAGTATCCACGTCGAAGCTTTTTGGCTGTGTCGATACAAACTCTTGCATAACCAATGCTGCCAACGTGTCTTTCATCGTTTCTTCCTTTTCTGTCAGCGAGAGAAATCTATCCGTGGGGTCAGACGGTGAGAAGGGATGTTGCGTCTCAAAGAGCTGCCAATTGAAGCCCACAAGAAGCTGTCGAGTGAATTTTTGGACGCTTTCTTCCGTCATTGGGCACAACGCTCGTTGCTGGACAACAGTATCTTCCATGATCTGTGCCAAATACTCTTCAATAACGATGCTAGCTGCAACAGCAGCCGAGTCTTCAAATGTTCCGATTAGTTCCCCGACGTTCGCTGACTTGATACTTGCCATATACACCAGAAACTCTACCAGGTCATCGGATGGCATCGTAGCGTTTCGATCTAGTTCGAACGCATAATTGTCCAGTCCTCGGCAGATTTCATCTTGCATTGCGTCACTGATAAATGCAGCATTCCCTCTGCGAGTGATCCGCCCACCTCTAGGCTCAACACTCTCAAGCAGCGAGCATCCTTCTGACCGAAACACAGGGTGGTATGATGCTGGATTGAATTCGGGATCAAGCATCCTTCTGGTCATCGACCGTGGGATGACGCTGTCAGTGCTGGGCGGGAGCACTTCTGAGCCTGGTCCATCGTCCACACCGTCGTCCAAGTCGCTTTCCAGTCCTTCATCGCCTAGAAAAGCAGTGACCTTGTTACTGCGATAAATGTTATCACTTGACGGATAACCTGTAGCCCTCTTTATCCGTCGCACACGCTCCAGTTCTGTCAAAGCTTTCGACTCTTTGTCCTTTGTAGCAGCAGCTCCGCCATGTCGATGCGCAAGCATAAAACACTTGCACACTTGCTCCTCTTCTTCCTCTGTTAGCTCCACTCCAAGCTCCGGGTGTCTCTTTATCCACAAAAGCCGCTGGTGCAGGACACAGCGACAATGACTGAAACCGCGTGGCTGTCGACATCCATGACAGAGCTTGCAACGCGCTGCAAGGTCCACCAGAGAGCAATTACACGCTCGAGACTCCTGACATAACGCACGACGCCGACGTCCGGTCAATCCACAAACACAGTGGAGCTCCATGCATCTACTGCAAGAAGCGCACGCCTCGGAGCTAAGGCATCCGCAGCGAGGATGTGCCCGCTGCTCCGGCTGACGACCGATTGGTACACGTGGTCGGGCAGGAGTTTCTTTCAGCTCGATGCCATTCTTTCTGATATACGTGGCCAGGTAGCTCATGCGTTCTTTGCCCGGCTTCTTAGCCAGAAACTCCTGCTGGTTCATGCCCTCGGGCCAGGCGAAATTCTGCGGCACTAGCTTCTTCCGCTCTTTAGTCCTCTTTCTACCTGGCTTTTTCTTCGGACGACGGATGGTCGTTGATGTGGTGGCCTGTGGTATGTAGAACCCATGTTTCGTGCCGAAGCTCATTAAGTAAGCTTTGCGCTCTTTGCCAGGCTTCAGAGCCCGGTACGCATTGACGTCGAAGTCCAGCGGCCAAGCCTTGAATTTTTTGGGACGTGTAGATGCATCGGTCGACGCTGCGGTGGCATCTGCCGGCGTCTCTTCCTCCTCCAGCGCCTGGGTGTCGTCCGTCTCCATTCGTGCAGGACCAGAACAGTAATATCATGTTTGCCACACCACTTTCTAGAAAAATGACAATACCTGTGTCATTACACTTTTGGCCATGGAAAACGTGAAACGAGGTAAGCTCAAGCTCAAGAACGGCAGCAAGCTCAAGGTGGCATCCAAGAAGCACAAGAAGCACAAGAAGAAAACGTCTAAGCGTCGCGAGGAGGAGGAAGACCAGCGCCATGAGCAGGAGAAGAGCAGCGACGACGTGGAAATGGACGACATGACTCCTGCGCAACGTCGACATGCTGAGCACCAGAAGAAAAGGGTGCGTGTTGTTGCGCGGTCTTCTAGGTAACTAGAACTAAACTTGTTGTATGCGTTTCCCATACAGGAGGAAGAAGAGATCGAAAAGTTGGCATCCAAGACTTACAGAGAGCGCATCGAAGAACTCAATCAGCACCTCGGAAGCCTCACAGAACATCACGACGTGCCTCGCGTTTCGGCTGCTGGCAACGGTTAAGCTGGACTGTATACAACCGCACACAGCTCGTATCTGGATAAGAGACTTGAATACCGATATCTTGCTCATATTCTTCTTCAGATCTGATAGGCGACTAAACGTCGTGTTTTAAATTCAACATCTACAATGTTAATCACATTGTTGCTATCCATAATGAATGCCTTCTTTTGAAGTCGAATCGACATCTACTCATCGTCGTCGTCGTCATCTGAAGGAAGCGCATTGTATGCAATGCATTGCTGGTTTGTGGACCAGTTGCGCTGTCTCGGATCACCACAGGAGAAATACAGCTCGCACAGGTGAGTGCTCGTGCTGTGGCAGCCCATAGGAGACGATTTCTTGCAGCGAAACTCCTGCACCATACCACCAAGTTCGTCCACTTGAGGAACAATATCCTTTCTGGGTTTCATAGTTAATACGTAGTCGCGAACATCTTGCGCGGTGATATCGAAACGCCCCAACGAGTACAGTAAGCCAGGCCCTGAAAAGGAAACAGCGCTCGTCTTCGTCTTGGCTCCAATCATGGCAGCAATAGCTCCGCCAAGACTGTGTCCAGTGATCACAAGGTTGCTCCCTACACGAGCACGTGTATCGATGGCGTGATTCAGCACGTCTGTGTACGCGGGCGATGGCATCACGCTTGCAATTAGACGCATGGACAACATTTTCACCACGAATGGCCGTGGCAATTGTTTCAGGAACGGGATGAAGACATTCATGGCCTGCATGATACAGATCCCAAACCAGAAATGCATATCCTCCAAAGCATCCGTCGCCGATGCTGTGCCACGCACCGAAATGACCGTCATATTCACTGCTGGAAAGTAGATCTCCATCCAGGTTTGCCCATCTGTGCTTTCGTTGCTGCGTGCCACATACTCCCAGTCACCTAACTCCGTTCCATTGAATCGATTTTCAAGCGCGGACTTCTGGATCTCTGTCGTTGTGCCATACGCGGCGTCGGCTATCAACGCCAAATCCAATACCGATAATCCATCATACGAGATGCTACAGGCCGCGTACTCCGACGTATCATCGAAGTTGATCACTTTACCGTTTATGGTAATTGAAGCCGATACGCCGTGCGTAGTATTGAGCTCGCTTGATACAAGCGCAGTGGAGTTATCAAACGTTCCCAGCTTAAAAGCGCCACCAGATACGAACGTACCGATGATAAACGATGACGAGAAGAAGATGAGCGATACAAATACGAAAGCCGAAATGAACTTTCGAAACGCGCGGCCGAAGATCTGAGGGAATCGTCTTTGTACAACGGAGCTCAAGGCAATCAAACACACACCCATGACGGGCCAGCCGATAAAGAAAGATTCCAACGATAGCAAAGCAGACCCAATCGAGCGCCAACAAAATCATAGCACGGACGTTTAGCGACAAGTTGTGCCATGGGTTACGCGCATGTGCCCACGCTCGAAATTCCCGCATGTGCTGCAGGCGCGAGGCGTACACAGACGTAGCGTGGGATCGTCCGGTATCGGCACCGGCTTCTACACCGGTGGTCGTAGACGTACTTGACACTTGATCAGGACCTCCAGCTGATGCAATGGGGATTGTGATCTTATCGGTAGGAGTCTTGCCTTGTTTCTTCTTGTCCTTCTTCGATTTACTGAAACAAATCCAACGTGTAGGATGCAAAGCGACTCCAACGTGGTGAACAAAGCGAAAGCCAACATCCAACAGCCAAAGATGCTCTGCACGCTTTCTCCGCTCAAGAGCGCTGACCGCTCTTCGCATAATGCATCTACGACGACGATAATTACTCACAATAACGCGCATTTTCCCATTTCGACTGCTTCAAAAGTGCGCTATCATCCATAGCATTAAATACCCTCCAACACACCAGAAACCCATCTGCACGTAGGCCAAGAACGCGTCTGACATTGACCAAGTTGCCATGAACTTGATAACCATTGAAGCTGCCGTAAATATCTCGAAAAACACAGGACACACAAAGTCCACAACGAGAAAAGTCGACAGATCGATTGCTGGACCTTCGTCTTGCACCTTCTTGATGAGCAAAGTGGTTTTCACAGCTGCCTGGATACGTTTCCATCGGTCCTTAGCCGTTCTCTTTCGGAGCACATTCACCGATCCCCGCTGCACGCGCTTCCGTCACCTCCTTTTGCTTCTCCTCAGCCTCTTTCTTGCGCACCCAAGCCTCGTCCTCTTCCTCTTTATCGTCATCCAAGAATGGATCATTCTTTGCAGTAAGCAGTAATGACCCTCTCGCCTTTAGAAGTCCACCAGGAATTATACTCGTCCGACTTCTCCGCAACTCGCCAACCTCATGCGTGCCGGTCTCTTCGAGAGCTTGGTCGTTCTCTTCCGCCGGTTCCACAAGCTCCGTTCGATGACGTAGATAGTGAATCACGACAGCCAACGCCAGTCGGAAGTTCGGAAGCGATCCGTCCGACTAATTAAGTGCGTCCACAAAGAGCCTTGAGGCCTCCTCGAAGACGTAGGATAGGAAAAACAATACCACTGGTAGCAGAATCAAAGAGACCACGGCTCGCACTGTATAGTACTCGTCATATTTAGCACTGGGTAGGAAAATGGCCAAATAAAACTCCATCAGCAGCGTGAACGAGAACATGAGCACCATCATAACCACCAGAAACGAAAGGTAACCAAAGCGCACTTGGCACAGCGTGCGGTAGAAGCGCCACTTGCCAGAAGACTGGCTGTAAGCATGCAGCTCCTCCTCGCGCCCTTCGGCTGTAGCTAGAATGCGGTCCTTCTGTTTGTAAGCATGCATCAGTCGGTTTGAGTAGCCAGTCGCGCCGTCTCGTAGCATGGCGTGACGTCTGTGTGGAGGGCTGGACGACGCCTCAAATTGTCCGCCGTGGACATCCACTGAAACGGAGGATTGTGAGCTATAAAACTTACCTGCGTGTCGAGCGCCAGTGCATTGCAGTCTGCCAGTGTCCGGTGCCCCCATCTACGAGCCACCGTCCACTGCCAGTGTCTGCAAAGACACATCCCAAGGACACTCATGCGCCTGGCAGTGCAGCTTGCGGCTGCACTACAACCGGCTACACTGAGTACACATGCGTGCAATGGCGAAGGACTATACCAAGGACTGTATGCACAAGGACATCGTTGGCTGTGCGCTGCCAAGATGGTGTACTCAAACGAGAGTGCATTTATCTAGAGTTTAGTATTGACTTATTTGCTATTTGTATACTAATCTACTTTTGCGGTACAGCGGTGTTCTGGCGGAGGCTGCTCCACACTTTGCGTTTTGACGCCTGCCGCTCATCAGAGAGCAGCAGAGGAGAGCAGCCTCGCCAGACACCGCAGTCCTGTCGCGGCCTTTTGCCCGGCACTTACGTGTTTACGTTACTTCCTGATTAGTTTCCTAAAGTTGACATTTAAGTGTATTTACATTTAAATGGCTCCTACTCTTAGAAGCGATCGACACATGGAGAACAATCCCCCCGTGACGAACCCTACGTCACCACTGGTTATGAGCCCAATCAGGGCGCAGTCTGCGACTGACGTGGCTGCTGGCGTTCCAGACACAAGTTCTGGAATTTTGACCAATCAAGACCAAGCTTCAATCCCATTGGCAGGAAATTCAAGCTTGAACAATGACGCAACACTGTCGCACAGTGATGCAGAACGACTAATTCGTTCATTGGCTGGAATCCCGGGTGGCCGCCCGTTATTCCAAATGTTACTCGAAAGTATGCATAAACTTTCGTCGACAAACACGGAAGAATCCGTGCCAGTTGACAATCCTCCCCAGTCGCCGCTAAACCAACAAAACGGCGACCGAGACCCTGACGATCCGTGGCGCCCTCTAGACAACATGAACCCTACTGGCCGCTACAACGACGGCGAGCTGGCTGAGTACACCAAGGTCCTCATCAACTCGCCTCCGATCAAGCTGCCCATGCTCCATCTGAAGGGCGACTACAAAGCCTGGAAGAGCGAGGTGCCGTTGCACTTCGAGCCGAAGATGCTGGGAGACATCACATATGGCCCTGAGCGCTACGATGCAGTAGAAGGCATGCGTCGTGACAAATATCGCGTGTGGTACAAGTCGCGCAAGAACAAGGCGTTCTCAGCACTTGCGTTGTCGCTGTCTGTTGACCTACGTACGACGTTCAAAATCGACGACATCCACGACAACATGGACGCCGCCGCTATGCTCTACGATGCGATTACGCAGCACTTTGAGGCTGGAGATGGTATTAATCCTGATTACCTACTGCAAGAGCTAGTGACGCGCCGGCTCAAGCCAAACGAGTCAGTATCGCAGTATGCTGACGACATTGCAAAGAAGGTGACACTTCTACATCAAGCTAATGGTGAGTTTGCTGAGTGGCAACATGCAAGCCTACTACTGTCGAGCAGCGTGGAAGCGTTTAAAGATCTCGCCCGTGAACACGGCGATTGGCTTAACAACCATGATCGTAAGACACTTACACTTGCTGAAGCCTTACAACGACTACGCGCTGCTGAACACCAGCGTGACCAGCTGCGTGCACAGACCAGACAACCGGTCGCGCATTCAATGCAAATTGCTCATGTCGGAACGGACCAAGGACAAGGTCAAGCCCGAGGACGCAAGCGCAACAAGCAACAGCGCAAGCGATCCAAGGGCGTTGCAGATAAGAAGCAGCGCACAAACTGCGCGAACTGTCAAGGAGAAGGACATTGGTATGCCGAGTGTACGGCTCTCACTGGCCAGCAACTGAAGCCAGAGCTCGCGAGAAAGCTGCAAGAGAGACAACCAAGGGCTCCTGTGTCGCTGGTGAACTCCGTACGTCGTGTGGATGCGGTAGCGTCGGAAGAAGATGGCCAAGGACTGTTTGCTGGCCTATCACTATGCGATGCGAATGCGATGGACCTTACGGATGGTGCTGCCCTATCGCCTACGGCTACGCAATCACCTGCATGGTCACTAACGTCTCCTGCGGAAAGTGAAGAAGGAGGAGAGCGTTGTGTTTGTTTGAAGGGGGTGCGGGCAAGTACGCAACGCACTCAATCGTCGGATGCGCAAGCCAACGCAGCGACTGCAGCTGCCAAGTTGGAGTTCCTGTTCAACACATACAAGTTGGGAGGACAAGGACTACAACAACGACAATCAACCTCACTGCCTACACTGCAAGCACCAGCTGTAGCTGTGCAAACTGCCATGCAACCTACTGGACAACCTGCTGTTCAACAAGGTGTACAAGC